GGGTGCTTTCACAACAGTATAGAATTATTAAGTTTTCAATAGCATTCATGCAGAGCGCGTGTGTATGGATGTATGTATATGTGTGCTTCGGCATAGTTCCTCGTATTTTAGGTGACAGTTTTTAGAGATACAGGATGTCCAGGTGTTCCTCTCCGTAGATTCTTGTATCTAGGTACTGGATGTGGAAGTCCAGGGTGTCCAGGTGTTTCGCTCTGTAGTTTCTTGTATTAGGTGTTGGATGTGGAAGTTCAGGGTGTCCAGGTATTCCGCTTCGTAGTTTCCTGTGTCCAGGTATTGGACGTGGAAGTCCAGGGTGTCCAGGTGTTTCGCTCTGTAGTTTCTTGTATTAGGTGTTGGATGTGGAAGTTCAGGGTGTCCAGGTATTCCGCTCCGTAGTTTCCTATGTCCAGGTGTTGCATGTGGAAGTCCAGGGTGTCCAGGTGTTCCGCTCCGTAGTTTCTTCTATCTAGGTGTCGGACGTAGCAGTCCAGAAAAGTGTGCAACAAGCTTTTGCGCTTCGTTCAAACTATAGTATCCTCTCTGATGTTCGCACGGCCTGAGGTACGTAAATAATCCAGCACACTCTCCTCTCTTACGTTTACCACACAGCTTCAACAAGCTGGACACCATTTCTAAAAAAAAAGGACTTACAAATTAAATTTATATGCCGGCTGCGACATTTAACCTTTGATTAGTTATTGGGAAATAATGCTTCCACTGATGCGAATGTCCGGATTGTACCAAGACATTCGTTTTAAAGGGGGAGGTGTTACGTCCGCGTGGAAAATCAGATCCTACGTACATGGTCTATGTCCGACTATGGGAAGACTAAACAGTGGGTCTGGTTTTCATCACATAGCGACCCAAAGATATGGTTATTTAATATATAGGTTCTAGGTCTACTGACAATGAGTAGAGCCTAACGGAAATGTTTATAGAAAGCATATTTAGTTTGACTGTTATTGACGTTGTTTATGCGATGCATATGCGGACGCTCCTAACTTTATGACTCAATGACCCTTCCTGGAAAACCCCACGAAAAACTCCTTATTCATTTACAAAGAAGTCATCCTCATCCAATCCTGATCCAGCAATTCCTTTACCCTTGTGCAGAGTACCCCCGCCAAAATTCCCAGCACCAATCGAAAAACTCCTTATTCATTTACAAAGAAGTCATCCTCATCCAATCCTGATCCAGCAATTCCTTTACCCTTGTGCAGAGTACCCCCGCCAAAATTCCCAGCACCAATGAATTTCTTTAACCACTCTATGCTCTTCTTCTTAAAAATTTGTCAAGCTAAACCAATAGTAACAATCCCTAATCCCACTCCAACAATCCACCCCCGCTAACCAACATCCCTAATTTTTTCCAAGTCTCGTCCTCATTCTCCGCTGATCCTTCAGACAGTCTAGTAAAACTGTTCTACATTCCTCTCGCACAAAAATACCATCTAACAGTTACTCCAATTATTGCAATTCATTAATTTATCTAGTACCAGTCGAAATTGTTTTCCGTTATTCCTCAACTAGCATCTTTGTAAAGTTTGTTGTCAGTGCATTAAGTTATAATAAATTCTATTCATTTGTTCACTAACTTTGCTTATATATATTGTGACGTAAACAAAAAAAAATAACAAAACAAAAACTAATAAGATGGATCTTACGTCAGCAAAAACGACCCGTAATGGTCCTCTCTCTCTGCCTCCTATCACCAACACGAAAGAACGGGTTGGGCGCCAGGTATCCCTCGCGGGAGTACAGAATCAAGGTAAGCACAATCAAATTATTATTGGTGAAGGAACTCTTTAATTTTTGCTGAATTGTCATAAATGTTAGATTTCCTAGGTTCAATTGTTTAGTTGGTGATGGTTTTCATTTGTTTAGAAACTTTCAAATCAATCCTAGCAAATATCCAGTTCAATTCATCCTTCCCTTGGTAATTAGAAGCATAGCCCAATCCCGAGTAAAGTGCGCAAGCATTGACTCAAAACAGGGCAAAGTTATAGTATATTACGGTTCGGTAAAGGCACCAGTCTAAGCCTCCATTCTGGTTCGGACGTAACAATGCCATTAAACACTTTCGACGACGCAATATATTTTTATGATCAGCAACATCATAATGCATTTACATTTTATATGCGTGACAATATAGACTTCAGTGCTTAGAGCTTCTATGTCCCGTTGAGCAACAAAAACTTGTGATATCCCCCAAAAAACACTTACGTATAAAAAACTACGCCAAGTACAGGAGTGCTGTGTATTCCTCTAATAAAAAGTATTGATATCAGATCATTGAGGCCAAGTCCATAAGTCGCTACATGTTTGCCTATTATATGATCTAGCACTGGCCCATCATTTTAATTGTATTTTCAATATTGTTTTTTAAGGGATTAATAATGCTCCTCCTAATGTTGATTGGGCCACATGTTGTTTGTCGAATACTGCGTGCAACATCACTTGTATTAATATCGGGTGTTTTACGAGCAAATATTTCACACACGTATGAAAAAATCACGTTGGTTAAGTGTGAACTGTTTAAAAATTGATAAAGTCATCAATACTATTTCTAGTAATTAAGTATCTCACAATAGCGTTCATCATTAAATAATGTCTTCCATACGAAAGTTTCTTTGGTTTTGACATAGTGCCTTACGTTAAATCATTTCATTCATACAGAGTTACATTCAATCTTTTCAACTTCCCGCTCACGTTTTACTGGCCAAATGATAACAGAATTCAATCAATGCCTTTGAGGCTGTTTGTTGTATTTAAATCATTTTTGCTCAAGTTTTATATTTGCATACATTCCCTTTCATTTCTTTTGGATTTATCTTCGATTATAAAGTATCAGATGTACCTCTTATCGAAACAAATAATTTTCTATTAAATGCGATTAAAACGCAAACGAAAAAAAATTGTGAGTTTTCAGATAGTCTTTTTTTTCCGATAGAGATTCTGTTGAATTTATGGAGTCGGATACGATGTGAAATAATATTTATGTAACTCATGCATGAAAAACCCTACTTTTCGTGCCTCCGAAGTGTGGCGAAAGTGGCGCTTTATATCTATGGATACGATAAAAATGCAATTTTACAATTTTACAATTTTCCAATTTTACATTATCGCACTAGTGCTTTCTTCTCGCACTAGTGTGATAAAGTAAACTTTGTTCTCGCGCGCTGTCATGAAATGCATTCACTTTGGAAGCCTTCCTTGCTCTTCTTATGGCTGCCTCCTCCAATGAGGAGATGTGTCAGTCACTATGAAGGCACAAAAATTAGCGTTTTTCATGCATTCGTTACACAAAATATTATGCGATACTGGTACAATAAAGCGAACATTATACGCAAGTCGTGAAGTTTGTCACACTCGCCGCACTCGTAAAACAAACAGCACTCGCCTTCGGCTCGTGTCGTTGTGTTACTCGTGTGCGGCTTGTACGACCAACTTCAGCGCCTGCATATAAAGTTCGCTTTCTCGCACTTGTATCGCAAAGTACTATTATTGAGGAACAATAGACAGATTACATGCCCGTAGGGCAACTGAGATGGGTAAGAAGTATCATTTATTAAAGCATGAGTGTTGTCATGGAGACTTAAAACAAAACAAATAAGGCAGTTACTAAACTAGCATAAAGTTAATCAATTTGATTTCCAACAGATACTTTACCAAAGCGGAATTTAGCGCGCAATCTGCAAGGTCAACTATCATTTTGACACCACTTCCGCAATAATGAAAGATTCATCGAAATATATCAAGTATTATAGGTTAAAAAATAGACTGGAGTGTGTTAGATTAAACTCTCATATTCTCTCTTACACACTATAGGTATTCTCTCTCGTTTTCTCCGGTCGTGCTTCGGAAAGGACTCCTTTTGGGAGTGATTCTCTTTGTGTCGTAATTTTCATGAGAAGAATCAAGGGTCTCTACGACACTTCGCCTCTGATCAATCCTGTTCTCCTCTCAGCTGTTCCTTGTACGTGGCAGTCGGAATGTCGGTTATGTATTTTATATTGTTGTATTTTATTTAACTATTATAAATTCGGTCCAACATAATTCCTATTAGATTTGAAAGACAGAATAATATCTGACAAGAGTCAAAATGGTCAGTAGTAGTCAATAATATCGTTGGATGTTAGTAAACAAAATCAGAAAACATTATAATGCATAATTTATTTCCCAAAATTCATCTTCACAAAACATTACATAATTCTATAGACTACTTAAAAATTTCATAATTTTTTCCATGCCTTCTTTTATATGTTTTTGTACATCTTCTACTACCTGTTTTATTACATTGCTAGTCTGAAAGGAAACACAGAAATTACAACAAATTTACATTCATAACATATTTATGAGAATCCTTAGCCTATGTTAAGAAGCAATTTCTTATGTTGGCACCACTCGTAGATGTCTACGTGTAGGATGACGTCCGTTTAATTTTCTCCCTTCCTCTATGGGTGTACCAAAAAACGAATGGTTCCTTCGCTTTATAGAGCATTTGGATGCGTAAATTGGACCTTCTACTGACTACATGTAATCTTAGCTACTTACAGAATAGAGTTCTGTCCTAGAAGCCTTAAGAAGTGGATAAGAGCTGCTGCCACAAATTCCCTTGAAGTCATCAGTTTCTATGCTCCAGAACATTATGCCAGCGAGTCCAAGCTTCTTAGCGTATTTTATTTTTATCGCTAAACTTCTTTCATTATCGAATCCTATCCACTGATCTCCACTGTAGGCATAAGGCACTTCCTGTTCTTCATACCAAACAGTGGTCCAGTTTCCACTTAATTGTTTTTCGCACAACTCATTGTAACCTTTAATCAAAAGTATGTTCTCATAATCGTACAAATAAATACAGTATATGAAAAAAGTACAATCCTGCTATTAATTAATTTTACCGACCAAGGCTACCAGCGCCGCCCGTGTAGGGACCGGCAAGTCCTGGACCAGCTGATGGACTTCCGGGTGTAGTCTTTGAAGTATCGGCCAATGTGAATGTCCTTCCATAAAGAGGCAATCCAAGTACCAATTTCGAAGCAGGAGCACCACTCTTCAGCCAGAAGTCGATAGACGCTACCTGGTTAAAGATTCAGATATTTTTAGATCTTTTGACAATTAAATAGCGGCAGTACATTGCTTCTACACTTACTATATTGTTTTGCAATAAGGTAGCGTTGTTTGCTTGATAACTGGCAGCAAACATTGGTGCGTGATGTCCTATAACGTCAGAGGAAGATGCAGTAGTCAAGTCATAAGTCATAACACTAATGTAATCCAAGATTCTGTAAAAAAAATTACAGACAAATGAATTAATTATTGGCAAAATTAATCATCTCAATAAATAAAATTAGTGAATCCTTTACTCGGCTATTGCTGGAATGTCGTAAGATGGAGTTGCAAGATCTTTGGTAGCTCCAACTGCAGCAGTTAGGAGAAGTCCTTCCTTTACAAATGCCTCCTTCAGTTCTTTCAAAAAAGCAACGAAGCCTTCCTTGTCGGCCTTCGCTCCTGCGATACAACGCGAGTCAAATGAATGAAGAATGAAATACGTTTAGAAGCACTCCAGGTATTTCGAGTGCAAGGATGCGTAGGATTTCGTATGCTACAAATGCCCAAGTAATATTTGCAGACATATGAAGCTGAAACTGCCGTTAAACGATTTTCGAAGGTATTTGATTAAACTCTGTGATCCGTAAGATACGATAAATTTGAAATTAGTACATAATTTTTTTTTGTCGATTAGTTTTCGTCAAAAATCCATTCCTGAATGATATCCTGCCGCGGAAACCGTTACGGTTCTAATATGAGATTGAACTTATTCTCACATATGTCTATAATATGTTCTCAAGAAAAACTTGGATGACTTTATTTCTTTAAACCATAAAGCTTAATCTTTGAAATCCGTTCGGTCATTGCATATTTTATATTTCAAATTTCAAGATGATCAACATGAGAAATCCGAAATTGAAACGCGGACCAGAGCTTTTCCCATATGTCTCTGCAATAATGTTCCATTGTTTAAAGTGACAATCATTAAAAGTACATGAGCCGTCAGTTCATGCTAAAGACTTCAACAGGTCGAATATCGTTTACTTTCTGCACTTTCAACACAAAATAATAAATAATACCTCCACGTTGAGCGGGATACTCCCAATCCATTTCCAATCCATCAAACTTATACTTTATAAGAAAATCAACAGCGTTTTTAACAAATGTCGCACGTAAAGTAGCATTGTTCACGACAATAGTGAAGTTCGTGCTACCTGCATTCCATCCACCCATACCAACGAGTACTTTAGGTGCTGTTTTCGTCTTCTTCAAAGCAACAAGCTTCCCGAAATTATCTACATGATTCAGAAGAATTAATTAATTAGATAATTTGCACTTTACAAATTAATATAGAGATTTCATTGTACTTGTGAATTCTATTTATGATTATATTAATTATCCATACTTTTTCCACCACCGTCAGATATATCGTTCCACGGATCCAGGATGTCGATATTTCCCTCTCCCTTGATACCGACAAATGCATAGATATAATGCGTGCATAAATCGGGTTCGATGTCGGACACTTCGAAGTGGCCATTTCCAACACGATACGTAGCCCAGCTTGCGAAATAGCACATCATTACTTTTCCCAAGGCTGGACCCAAGAGGGTCGTCATTATGCAGATGATCACGGACAAGTTCATGATTGCCTAGTAGGTGATAAGTTTAATACAGTACAGAGTAAAGGAGTAATTGTTTGAATATGAATAACCCAGTATATTAGATATTAAATAGTCTTTTCGTTTTCTAAGTATTTCGTACCTTTTTTTGGATATAGTCAATGCTCAGTCACTGGTCTACGTGCCAATTTCTCTGCTTTACGGCGTCGCACTGAATACGAGAATTTAGTGCGCTGGATGCATATATACTATTCACAGCTATCTTCAGGTAGCCAATATTTTAACACGTTTCATGCTACGTGAGGGAACGTATACGCCCCTGTACGAATAAGAAACTTCTTATTGGATAATATAAAACATATAAGTTTGAGATAGTCTGGTCTAGTGTGGTTTCAAGTTAATTTGCTACCATAAATCAAAAGATTGCGCAACAGGTGCGAAGAATAATCACGTAAGAGGAGGTTCTCAGCTGTGTAAGATATTGCAAAATTTTCTTGTTCGTTCGAATTAAAAAATAATGTTCTTACATGATTTTGTATTACGGTAAGGTATAACTCACGTCATTGGAATAAATGTCAATACTGTTTAACAGATTGACACTTGAATTCACAATCACGTGTGAAGATTTTAACAAAGGTGTGCAAAGGTTTGAGCGTTACAAAACACTTTGTTTCATATGTGATTTTTCATTCTGTATCTATATTGCATGTAAGTTGTGAGTTACTATAACCCTCGATGAAAAATCTTGTTTTAATGTGTTTCAAAATAGATATAAAGTCCAAATTCGGCACTTCATAGAGGCAAAAAATTAGGCAAAACTGCTTGCCAGTGAAAAGAGAAAAGGTTTTGTATGAAACATTGTGACCGGTGATGAAAAGTGGGTCTGTTGCAGTAATCCAGAGTCAGTGCTATGGTAAACAGACCCTCGGTGACCATGATCGTGCCCACGTGGCTGTTGCGACTTAGAAAAGAATAACGTAACTTGAGTGAGAAGTGTTATAACCCCTGCTGAATTTTCCGGACATTGTACCTTCTGATTCCCATTTGTTCAGCTGGTTGCAGCACACCCTTGATGAGACGCATTTTCGAAACATAGACAATATTTGAGAATTTGTCGATTATTTCATCGACTCTTAACCTTCTTCTTCTTCTTCTTCTTGATCCTTATTGGCTTTGTGCTCTGTAGAGCCAAGTTTCAGCGACTCCTAGCCTAAAGATTTCTTTGGAACGATATTCACCAATTTCCTGATAGATGGCGGGATGGTACAAAGCGTGGGGAAATTTATTAAGGATTATCAAACAGTGTATCTTGAATAACAATAAAGATTTGCAGTAAATTAATTCATTCATTTAAAAAATCATATGAAGGAAATTACAAAAATTATCTATGGACATTGTGCTAAAGGGCAATATAATACAGTTCCCTAGCAGATCCTACCACCGACCAAACCAACATCGAAACCACTACGGTGGTTTTGTGCAAAAAGTATACCAAGCATTTTATTCGAACTAGTACAGAAACCACCGTTCCCCCACCCTAGAATCAGCCGCGGAGTTGGTTCAGATGATGGTTTCGATGGTGGAAACGACTGAAAACGATGGTTTGCGTATTGGTTCGAGCAAAACGTTTGGTATACTTTTAGCACAAAAACACCGTAACAGAAGCCACCATGAAACGGTGGTGAATTTCACAGTCGCCGGGTCTGTTAAGGTTGTTTTTTTGAATAAGAGTCTTGAGCGTGTGAGAAAATGTACAGCCTGAACGTTCCACAAATATTCGACGCACGTTTTCTGTTTGTGGGAGTAACGTGTGTTTGTCGAAGACAATTAGAGTACGGTAAACTATTGGTCAAGAAATTCACTGATAAGCGATTTTATGCCGTGTTTTTTTAAATAGAAGATCACTAAGGATTTAAAAAACGTGTGAAATTAGTTTACGTGAGACTGTATATAAAACTATTGTATAATAACGATATCTTTCCACTCAGATACCTGCGAAATATCGAGACACGAATGTTCTATGGGCACGTAGGAATGAAGTGTCTCACATGTCAGAGAGAATAAAACGGCAAAATGTATACTGTTTCTGGCACGAACAGTAATATTAAAACTATTTGCGATAGGAAGGCGCTGATTTCCAATTTCTGATTCCATTTTCTAATGGTTTGTATACACTCTCTAATCTGTTAAATGTATATGAAATGCAACAAAATTATGTAGACGCTCTCGTAATGCATATAGAAACTCTGCGGCTTCTGTATTATTCTGAATTTTGAAACTGAATAGTATTTGACAGTACTAAAAATGAATACTATTTATGGTCAATAAGTCCGTGGTATTTTTTATATGGGAATAATACAATCACAAATGTTACAATGCTCATTTTAATTACTATCATCCGTCATAATAAAAGACTGCATGGGTTCTATGATGTATTTCAATCTTATACATCTCCTTCGATTCTTGATAGTGAATTTAAGCATCCGTAATCTAAAAGGAAACACAGCTATTAGAGCAGAGCAACGTTAATAATATTCATAGTATATTCATATAGCTTGCGAAAATGTACATTAGTACATTTCCCAGAGCTGGACCCAAAAGGATTGCCATTATGCAGATGATTAGGTCGAACTTCTGAGTGTGCTGTATCTCAAATACGTACCTTAATGAAAAAAAAAAATACTTCTCATTAGCTAATATGAAAATATTAGTTTGAGATACTCGCCTTCCTTTTTAACAGTATACCATACTGTGAGAGTTCACAGTATTTTGAATTTTGTCACAGCCGTAAATAATATTTACGTAAAAGAAAATATTCAGTTCGAATTTTGTCTCCCAGTGACGTCATTTGACTAATATTTAGCAGCGTTTATCGGATTAACACCTGAATCTACGAATTATTCACTAATCATCGATATCGTGTCGTATTCTATAAGTAGAAGATCAGAAAGACCTCAAAAACATGTGAAATTAATTTATCTGTACGTGAAATCATTCATACAACATAGAATATTCAAACGACACCCGATTTATGCCCGCAATGTCCTACCGACGTTCCGTTGAAAAACAGTTTTATTCTATATTTATTATACAAGGACATTGGCTACGTAAGGTAAGATACTTGCTTTAATAAATCCTAGTGAAATTTTAATCATTTGACAATTTATTTCAAACTCATTTTTTACTCGGGTCCAAGATACAATGTGTCATCCAGGCAGTACTTTGATCCAGGCAGTACTAGACTTATGACGTGTATCTCTTAGAGAAGGAAAATCATATATGAGATCGTTATTAGTATAAATTTAAAATATGAAGAATTCCAGTGTACTTGGACACTTGAAATTAACGTTATATATCTATATATATGTGTATATATATACAAGGTTTATTCACGGCAAACGCACCAGCTGAAGTTGAATGCGATTGAACAATTTTGTTAATCCACGTAGTTTGGCCTCGTTAAACAAATGAAAAAATTTGAAAATCATAATGAAACCAATATTACGACGTTAACTTTCATTTTTCTTAATGATGCCACCCTACTCTGGTGCGTATGCCGTGAATAACCCTGTATATAATATTGGGGCTTCGTCCATCCACAGTGTTGCTACCCAATGAGAACTGAAGGTAAAGCCAAAAATCTTGACGTCATACAATACGAGTAAAATGGAGTATAAATTTGCTTGGTTAACGTAATTATTATAGTTTGATTATATTTCGTGCATTCTATCAATGGTTACTTATCTCCTTATATATCCCTGCCCCCCTTACCTCTTTTTTGTTTATTTGTTTTCTTTAAGAAGTAAAAATGTCTTGGTCGGTTTTTGGAGTGAACTAACAGAAAGAGGGCCGCAGCTCGAAAGTAAGTAATCATTGGCCGATTATTCGATTGAATTCGAATAACAAATATATTTCTGTAATAAAGTAAAATTCGATAAAATCATTAAATCAATGTCAATCGAGAAAAGCAAACCGAAAGGTAAGCGACTCACATTAGCCCAAAATGAAAGTTTATCAATGCAAAAGTAAACGGTTGTTTTCGAACAGTTTTAATCGATTCGGAATAGAGACAAATGAGCTCATTGAATCTGTACCATTAAACTTATACTGTAACTGTTATACAATATACGATTGAAATGGAGTAAGTTTAATGAGAATATTGTCCAAGAAAATTTATACCCACTTAAGTGTTCTTTAGGTTATCTGTTTTTTTTCTCACGTCTTTCCTCTTTCCTTCTCGGTCGACATATTACGAATGCACGCTAATCCACGTACTCACGCTCAATATACACAATTTTCATTTTCTTTAATTCCTTCCTGCTTTTTTCTTTTTCTTTTCTCTCCTCCTGTTATCATTCATGAAGGTGACGCGTTGTCTATACCGTTTATCATGACTATACAGTTATTGCTATGGAAGCAGTACGATGATTCGGAGCAACGATAAATTCAATCGAATTTATTATAACGTATATTGTCATTATATATAATCTATTATATACTCGTATAATTAAAAGTACAATACTTGTTCATTACAGTTGCGCCCTTTAATAGTGTTGCCGACAGACAGTTTTGAAATTCATTGGAATTCAAATAACCGAGTTTGACACATCTTAGTAGGTAAACTTAATAACACATTTTTTTTTCGAGTAAATATTTTTTTCAACACATACGTTTTTTTTCTTTTCTTTGCTCTTTGCTATATAATTGTATTGTTATATACATAACACGTCTAGCGGTAACTACAAGTCACAACAGCTAATAACTCTTTTCGTCATGCCCAATGCTGTCTGGAGTTTCTTTGTCCCATCCAGCCGATAATCCTTACAACATAATTATCCTTAAAATCATAATTAATTTTTCGCACTGTAGCTACTACTATAATATAACATTTCTCGATGCATTCGGACAGTTGACCCTTCACTTACATATTTTATCACTTTGTTATATTCCAGAGCAAAAAAAAACGGCCACGACTCCTTGCAGGACGTAGTTACGCATAGTCTTCTTCATCAATTTTATTTTTCCTTTCCCTTCAGAAGTTCATCGATAGACCTCGCAAAATACAGTGGATCTTAGATCCCACGATCGACCGACTCGATCGTGTACAATTTGTCAAGGAGTGATGGATCAAGATAACAAAGCAAATAGCGACGAAAACAAGTCCGACGGGAACATCCGAATGAATCGACGAGAGTCAGCGAATAAAAGACAAATTATTAAACAACTTGTTGTATTGACTTTTACATCCCATACGTAAAACTTACATGCCAATGCCTCATGGTTTATATATGTATCGGCATGTATATATAATAATAAGTATGTACCGCATGTAATTACACCCTCGTGAAATCGCGCGTGCACACTTAATATTTCCTATGCATTTTTAACGTGTTTCTTCTCTGTCTCAGCGTACGGCAAACGCGTGTATACGTAATTTAATTCTTGTCAGTTAAATCCTTTTTTCCCATCTTCTTCCAATTTAATTAGGGTACAGAGTATAATCATGTGCGTGTATAACTTTGTGTATCGTATATATAGCTATCTCCAATTTTTTCTCCACTTCCGTTCTGTGTGCCTGTATTCCTTTGTTCTCTCTGTATCCTCGAGAAGCAAAATCGTACTTGTTCCAATGTCATGAAAAGGGTGTCCCGTTTTGCGGTGTACGTTGCACCTGGTACATGTGTTGTATTATTTATACTACAGTTTTACGACAGAACGCACGGATGAAATGTGAACGCTAAATTACATTGAAGTTCCTCTACCCGTCTACCCAGTGACGCTCTGACACGCGTAGTTTCCTCATAGCTGATACCACTTTTTGTCTTTATACTTGACCATGAGACCGTGTGCCGATTGCGAGAAGTTGTCGGCCTCGGACATCATACGTGCCGTTCGATCCTCCAGCTGAGACAATTTTTCACCGCGTTCCATAACCATTTGATGAGCCATAGCTACATCCCCGGTAGCCGTCGACACTCGTTCTCGCAGACCCTCGGTATTCGTCAAGGGACCTGGTATATGCTTTGCCACTGTGCGAGAAGCACGACCACTGGACTCGCCGACTGTAAATGAAAATGGATACATTTGTGAACGACCAGTCATCGACCATATTGGATCTATCATTGTACATGTAAGTGAACGAAGGAAAATCTCTAGAATACGTTTTACAGAATTTATAGTTTCAGAATTCTTACACAGCTCTTCTCGATCTAGGCTCCTCGATCCACCACCGAATAAACCTTTGAAGAAGCTCTCCTTAGGTGGTTCCGGCATGTCGTGTCCAATGAACATGTCTCCCATCATTTCAGTTAGCTCGGAACTGCAACGAATATTCCCACAATGCACTGAACATTCATCTCAATGATATTCACGTGTAAATATTCAAACGTAATTACAAGGGTATACAAACCAGAATTCACTGGAGACTGAAAACTTTTGTATCTCTGTAGGCGACGAGAGGTACAGCCCGTGTCCTTTGTTGCTAAAGCAGAGTGTCCTTGCGATTCTGTAAAAAAACAATACCTTCTTCACCTGCGCGTATCTCATGCAAATAAGATGCATTCTGTGCACAGCCGAGGATATAATAGCATAAATGCATCGAGTGTAGTATAGTGACAGTAAGAGAATTAGTACTAGCAGTAGTAGTAGTAGGAGTAGTAGTAGTAGTAATAGCAGTAGTAGTAGTGTAGTAGTCCACTAGAGGTTGCAGTAAAGACCCAAGTTTGTTGAAGAAAAAAAACTGTACAATATAGATAGTGATTATTTTGTTTATGAGAAAGTAAAAGTAAAAAAAAATATTAAACGTCAGAACACAATAGACACTGAAGTACCAGCATCGGATTTGCATTCTCCGTTTAATATGAATGACGAGCAGTGAGGAATGATTAAAAGAATTTAATAAACAGGGCTTACTGTATTTCTCGTGTACGATTTTATGTGCGATGTGTAATACTGTGAGCTTTACTTTGATTGATGACTTACTGATCGGTATCGCCATTTACAAAGAGTTGGTGACCCCATATGGACAACATGGGGTCTACAATGCCGTGTTTTGTCGTCTGAAAACTGTTAGAGATTACAGAGACAGAAGAAAGGAGTCGTTGCTTAACGTAACGCAAAATTCATTTTCGCACACTTCAATTGTTTACATATGTATATTATATTAAGGCATCGATATTACGCAACGGTCATTCAATTCATAACGGCACCTTGTGATAAATACGGATAACGCTACCAAGTATAGGCATCACGCGACAATGTTAACAATTATTGCGCCAAGTTGATTGAACTCTAGCAGCGTGTCGTGACACGAAAAATGTTCCAAACAATTTATTTTAATATCGATCGATCACTCGGGACTTTGTGTACGTCTATAATATTTCTTCGATGTATTTTCGTAATTAAAGTAAAGTATCAACCGCGTATATAAATGAATTCGAAACGATCTCCCTTCAAATCTCTTCTCACCTTTTTTTTCTTTACGCTCCGTGGAGATGAAACTAAAATTCCTTTTCGTCCCTTACGAATTCCTTACGTGTAATGCAAAGCGAATTGAAATTTTTGTACGAACAAAAAATTGCCATGAGTTAATAATTCGTGATTGACGTAATAACAATTATGAAAACTGCTCGGATATATCGATGATGATCGATTGTTGAGAGAAACAGGCAAAGTGAACGAAAATTCAAGTACGCAATGAGTATGAAAATTACTGATAGTTTGATAATAAAATTTCTTTATCGTCATAGCCGTGAGATTACGTTTTTTTAAATAATTTCAGGCATTCGATGCATAGAGTGCTTCATAGTTGCAATAAGACTACGCCAGGCATATCTCGAGCGGTTCGAGGGTTAATATGTAAGTGCATAGGTATTTAGCAAGAGAAAAAGATAGACTAAGAAAAGTGAAATAGCATGCCAGAGACAATCCTTTCATTTGATTTGTTGTGTATGAAACAGTATAGGTTTATTAAGAGCCAGACGTACTGCTCGAAGTTAGCCTATATGTACATTAAATTTCTATGATAGAGCCAACTTCAGTAGGGTACGGTTGTACTGTACAACTCCGTATATAATAAATGATCTTTCATCTCTGAGCACGTGGTGCACGAGAAATTGATGTAATTTTGCTCAAGACGCGACGATTCTTGTTTAACGAATCGATAAACACGCCTAAAATATTGGATTAAAAAAAAAACACCAAATTTTAATAAAATTAAACACAATATAGTTATTTGCTTATAATCCTATTAAGTTTCTACCCTGCTTTATCAAATGCTTAGACAGTGAATACGGAACGAACATTGAATTGGAATAAACTGTGGATATTATTGATAGAAGTTCTATCAACAGAGTAAGAAAAAGTATAGGGATAAGTGAGAAAGGAGGTAGTTGATTAATTAATATCATTTAATTTGGTACTTTCTAATCAATAGTTTCCAACGTCTATTCTACTGGATCGGAATGACTGCTTTGACAAAAGAGCTGATAGACAATAACAATTTAAAAAAAAATCTATTTATTGTGAGAACTACTTGAACACCGATCAATAGCCAACGAGAGTTTCACTAAGCAGCAAAAGTTATTACTCTCAACTGACGAACTCATGATTCTTAGACAAGACTTGCCACTCATTCGCATAGTCGATGGATGATCAATTTAAAAAAAATTAAATCATTCGATCAAATATTTACTGAAAAATCGTGTCAAGCGAACGCTCGCGCCATAATACGTGGCTGAAAAGATGATGTCAAACGTTGAATTAATACTTTGTAATATCGTATGAACCTTTATATTGTATATATATATATTGTAGTACTGATAAACATTCTAAAATTGCACAACCCTAACGTCCCGTTACTAAACGTAGCCCATGAATAAATTAAGAAATATGTTCCACTCTGCCTGATGACTGCATAAAAGATAGCGCAGTTAAGACTGCCAATAAAATAATATACGATAACGCAAATTGTCAAAGACTCGACGAACCTTGTAGAAAAAAAAATGGAAACTCCACGTTAAAAGTAAAGTGAGCATCTCTCTGGAGATGCTTGAATTCGGTGCAGCTATAATTCCACGAGATGGCACTCTCAGCGAATATCTATAAGCGTACAGTAGGTGCACGAAAATGAAGAAAAACGGTGAATTGAAAGTGGATGATTGAAAGTATTTCGTAATAAATGTTAGAATCGGATAAATATTTTTCGTCTATTCAATTGCCAGTAATGATAAATAGTGCCAGAAGGTAAGACAAACATAATACGTCCGTATCAGTGCAAATATTATATTAAATTGGGTAATTATCGTTATAAATTGAACAAAGTCCATGACACAGATGTAAGGTGTCTGTCGCTTACCTGAGATCCAACAGCGGCAGAAAGTCAACATCGATCAGCGGCCTAAGACTCGGCAGACTGTAAGTAGCTATGTGTCCGCTTGAGACATAGCAGACGAGGCAGACGCTGTCTAACAAAAAAAAATAAAAATAAAAATAGAAACGAGGATGATCACGGGTAACGAATATATGATCCATTGACAGGAGAGAAGATATGAAAAAAAAAATCTGACAATACCAAAAATATATATAATTTGCTAACCTTTCAGCGAAGTTATTTCCGCTTTGATCACGATATCGGCATCAGCCAACTGTTGCCTGTAGACGCAATTTTGAGATGGCAGAGCAACGACACGGGCCTGTTTCTCAGACGTCAGTACGACAAATTGCCGATCTTCAAATCCATCGCCTACGACTTGTGCATTTAGCGAGGATGACTTGCTGTTTGCAAATTTGCCTTGGGCCTCTGTAACGAATGCATTGAATCCACTGAGTATAAATGACATTCTACAGGTCCTACGGACTCTGCACTGGTCAATAAAATATCGATGCTTACTATTGCGATCCCTGTAGTCAAGATTCTCATCCTTCCAAGACTCGTAAGAGTACGGAATGAGAGCACCGTTGCAATCCAGGAAGGACATAGTTAAGATGGAGCCTTTTAACTTAAACATAGAACCACCTGGAATAGAAAAGAAACGTGTAAGCATGCCACTCTTCGTTCACCCACGTCAACCAATAACGACGTGGATGTATAAAGTAATTATGTAAGAATTCCGAGTAACGACAATACTGACTATAAGTAGAGACGATCACAGGCTGCGAATCTCGTTCGCCATGGGCAGGCGCATTAAAGACAATAGTTTGTATGGAACCCAAAGACGTGCCAATCCATAAGGTTGGTAAAGCACTAGCATCTGATGAAAAGAGAAAATTATAAAAATATAATAAACGCCAATGGCCAATCAATAATATTCAATCCCAACGAGAAGAATGTTACAAATGTCATTATTTCAAAAAAAAAAAAAAAAAAAAGTCATACCGCTTTTCTTTGTATAAGAATCGGCGAATGTAAGGCAGCTGATGGTTTCGGTGGCAATGTTCTCCAACGAGGACATGCTCGAACTTCGTGAGCGCTGGAACGAATTGTCCAGCTTGTCTACCCGGCCAGCATTCCCAAAAACAAAGTGAAACATTATTCATAGAGTAAACAGCTTCTTCGTGAAGTGCTACCAGAGGCATGCATAACGATAATAAAAGTAATACGTGGCTTAAAGAAGTTCTTGTCGAAGACAATAGAAGATGTACGGCTCATAACGAGTACAAATGGCGAAGAAAAAAAATGATGACGATGTCAGTGTCACAATAAGAATTTTTGGTAGTAACATAAATAATATACATATATGTGTGTATAATTAGGTATATAAGATAACAGCAACAACAATGACAGCAACAGCAACAATAAGAACAATAATAGTACCAACAGCAGTAATAATAACAACAAGTACAACAGCCCGGTGGACGTCAACAGCCACCGTGTACAGGCTGTTTATGTTTAATTGATCTCTTATCCTTATTGTATTAAAAAAAAATTGACCGATCATCTGACACTGACCCTTCGTGACCTACGGTACAGTACATACACACGTTCAATACGTCCAATGAAGGATTGGGCATCAAATAAAATAGTCAATGATTGTTAACGTTAATACCACGTGATTCCCCGATATACGGCATGCATGCGTTAACTGCTCAGGAATGAGCGGGTTCATTGTGAAAATAAATTGCTACGAATGATAACATTGATCGACGATTATTTAAAAAAAAAAAAAAAAAAATAGTACGTAGCATGATCGTTGATAGGTAAATTTCACTTTTCGAGTACGCCGACACACTTAATAAGCAGCTTATGAAGGGTGAACAGAAAGAATATTCGAAAGATAAATGAACGAGGATTCGTAATACAAAGTGACATCAGAGGGGAAAAAAGGTGACGTCACGATTAGCGAACTAAACTTAGATCCTTATTACAATGATTGACTGTGATCGTTACATGGATCACAATTCCTTCAAACTACATGTATATAACTAAGGATATGCGGTGCTTAGACGAAAGCAAATCCCGTCTATTATAAGCGTCCTTGGATTTACGGATATCGTCAGTTTCTGTTCGAGCAGCTTGAAAGCAAAGTCTGATGATAATATAAGTTCTGTCATTTTGTAAAAAATTGTATAACCTTGCTTACAAAATGCTCGATCCTATTCCAATGTCTTTTTCGTACGTTTTTCGACGTACTGGACATAACATAGACAATATCCGTCGTCAGTGTGATTCGAACCCTAAACAGAACGTAATGTACATGCGACTATGAATTACGGCAGTGTAAAGCAAGAAGATGTTCGCTAAAGAGTAAAAGAAAAAAAAAAAGTCAAAGTACATCGACATAAAGAAAACCGTAATAAGAAATAATAATAAAAGAATAACATAGGACGAAGAATATTCGTTGCTCGATGGTGCTCTTGTAAAACGGCCATAGACGTAACGTTAGAGTGACTTTCGACGTGGAGTGCAGCGTCTTATTTATTAACATAGAGATTCGGCAGGTTAGGTAAGATGGTAAGTGGCGCCAATGGGGGCACGAGTAGACGGACGAGTGGGTAACTAAATGAATGAGAATATAAATGCACGAGGATAGACAGAGATAGAGAGTTCGACATTTATAAATAAACACAGACCAGACAGTACCTACTATATAATGACAGTACACGACAGCTCTCTGACGTAACGTAAACTTAAGTTAGTAAAAAAAAAACCTTTGACATTAAAAATCAATAACAATACATGTGAATCGTTGTGACACGATGATCTCGATCGGTCTGACGGATAAATCAAATAGCATTAGAGAAATCATTAAGAAATTTAAAGATGTCTTCCTCGAGTAGACCTGACTAGACAAAGAGAGAGTAATAGGACAGACTGAGATACAGGAGAGAGATAGAGAGAGAAATAAACACATGATATAGTCAGCTGATAAATAAATAATATCTACGAGAGTTCTGAATTAAATTGGACGTCTGTACTACCAAAGCTGCTGTACTGTCTGGCGTTGGCGAGGATATACTGGGAGGTCATAGAAGCCTGAGAAGTGGTTGCGCTTGGTTGGTAGTTACGAATCTCAACACTGCGTTGCGCGTGGAATGGGAAGCTTGATGAAAAGCTGCCGGAAGTCGAACCATCCGCGTCGTAGTGGCTGATCGTAGTGCTAAGACACTTCTGTAATTTGCGGATACCTTGGGAACGAGAATGACGAACGGGCTCTAAGACATCGAGCCTAGTGGCTGACGTAGCTTTACGGAATCGTGTGTTACCGACACTTCCGTCATTATTATTATTATTATTATTCCCAGCAGAATCGCCACCGCCGCCGGTATTGCTACTATTGATCGTAGCACTGTTATTGGTACTTGTAGTGGTACCACCGTTGGCTGTGCCACGGTAACCAGAAGTACCACTTGTACCGATGCTACCAAGAAGACCACCAGTATTCCCACCACCACCGCCAATTATACCTGATCCAACACCATCGTTATCACCAGTATCAACTCTTTCAGATATCACACCAACTGCATTACCACCAACACCACCACCACCACCGCCGCCACTACTACCACCTCTTCCGGTTGTCGGCGATATGCACATCCCGTTCATCTACAAACGACGTAAATCCCATATACAATGTAATATGATAACAGTAGCTAATAAACCACGGATAACATTATCCATTGAAATTACACAAGAAAACATCTATTCGTTAATTAACATAAATTTTTAGGTTGGTTGTTACGTGAGAGTGAGAGAGAGTGAGAGTGAGAGAGAGTGAGAGAGAGAGAGAGAGAGAGAGATATTCAGAAAAAGAGTCTTCTTGGACACTGTGGTGAGATTATGTGAAACAGAAAGAGATGAGAGAGAGTGAGAGTGAGAGAGAGTGACAAGAAAACATCTATTCGTTAATTAACATAAATTTTTAGGTTGGTTGTTACGTGAGAGTGAGAGAGAGTGAGAGTGAGAGAGAGTGAGAGAGAGAGAGAGAGAGAGAGATATTCAGAAAAAGAGTCTTCTTGGACACTGTGGTGAGATTATGTGAAACAGAAAGAGAAAGAGAGAGAAAGAGGGGAGGAGTGGATCGAAGAGAAAGATTGTAGTGAGAGTCCTTTAACTTGATCATCGGAGAATGGCAGAGGTGTTATCGACATTGAAGGATGAATGTACATTCTACGTGTATGACATCTGGATATCAATGAAGATGAAGATCATTGTACAAAAGAATCGTTGGGAATATCGATTAGCTCTTTTTTTAGGACGAAATTCTAGTAGTCGCATGTGTGGGTTATGTACATAAGCGAGTATTTTTGATCGTATAAACATGGATTATCAGCTGTGCGAAAGTTAATGGTAAATTATTGTAATTGGTTGATCGATCGTTTGATTATCATGTAAGATGTATTAAGCGTTAACTTAGCCCCACTGTTCTTGTCACCCTCGCTATATCTGACCTACGTAAACTTCCTGCCGCATAGAAGGCTATAGTCATAGCTAACAATGCCTTTTGCATTGTCGAACGAAAAACAAAATGATCACATACACACACGTTACGCACGGACGCGCATCTCGCATACAGAATACGTACAGTATACGTATACAGTATAATACAAATGATTAGTTTTATTCAAGCAGAGCAAATAAAGTTATATTTATCGTTTTGTTATTTTAGCGTAAAATATTTAAGAATACGCTATGTGGAATAAGTGTCGTGTAAAATGTGCGAAGTCTTCTACAGCAGTCAGTCAATATATTATGCAAACATAACCGTGTCAAGTACCGTATAATTTCACCATTCAATCATTTCTCCAACGTAAGAAGCAGATTGTCAATAATAAAAAAAAAAAAAAAAAAAAAAAAAAAAAAAAAAAAAAAAAAAA